CGCATAACACGAGGGTGTCTCTTTTGGAGTTCCAGGTCGGCTATGCCACGCTTCCGCGAATAAAGATCCAGCAGCGCGATGGGAAGGGATGGGCGGGAGGGGAGTATGTCCGACGTGGTGCGAGCGCACCTGGCTTGCTTCTTGACCCCTCGCACGCAGAATGCTTCGCGCCTCGCAGCCAGGATCTTGCCAGCCTGGCCCAAGATGTCGTCCCACCCCCTCTCCTGCGAAGCAGTTTCATCATAAGTGGATCTGGCGTGCCACGTTCTGGCGCTGTGCGGTTTGTCTCCGTTCCCGCCGCCAGGACTCGAAGCCCAGTGCCTTGGGATGCTCAGGCGAGCCTCCCGAAGTGTCCCTCACCATCCGAGAGCCAGATCACTGCCCTTCAGTGTTCCAATTCAAGCATGCTGTATGTTTGCCACTTGTGCTGCAGATAGAGGTGTGGCGGCCGATTCAAGAAGCTTCGCATGATTTGTAAGCCTGAGCCCAAGGGGTCCAGGAATAGTAAATATGCGGCCTCAGTTTTGAGGGCTCTCCGTATGGGTAAGCATCGCAGGCTCTCTGGCGTTTTTTTGTGCGACATATTAGACCCCTTGGCAGAACCGAGTGGATCTGACACGGGTGCTCAGGCTGAGCCTGCCCTGCCGTCTCAGGTTCGCAAGTCGCGTCGCGAAGGTGGATATCTAGCGCCAGGTGGGCTATCGTCAAGCAGTTCAGACTAAACCGCAACGACGCGGACTGCTCGGTCCTGTCGGTCCTTCATCTTCAACCTGAGTCGTGGCTTCGGTTCAGGGCGCCTGTCAAAAAGCTTGCTTCTTAACCCCTCTTCCCTCTTCTCCTTCCTGTGCCTCCTCGCTGGACCGCGGTGTGAGGTTCCACGGCTTCGCTCGCCCTGGCCAAGAGGGCACGCACGGGCACATCCATGTACCCAGCTCAGGCGTCGCTCCTGCGCTCGCTATTGCCTCCTCGTCGTCGTCCTCCTCCTCGTCCTCGTCCTCGTCCTTCTCCTCCTCCTCCTCCTCCTCCTCCTTCTCCTCCTCCTCCTCCTCCTCCTCTTCCTCCGTTAGCCATTGAGCGCCGAGCAGGTCGCGGCGGGCCGTTCACGCAGTCTTTGTCTTTCGCGATGGGGTCGGATGACCTCTGGGAGCGGATGGCGGCGCTGTCCGTCGCCCAGGCGGCGTTCGGCGCGGCGGCGGCGGCGCTCAGGGGCCACGGCGGTACCAAGGTTTTGTCCGTGGCTGTGGCGGCCGTGGCGCGCGGAGCTGCCCGGGGTGCCGCCGCGGGCGCACCTGGACTGCGGCAGGGGGCCCCCAGGGAGATCGCGCTGCTCGCCGAGGTCCTCGACGCGGTCGGCGAGACGTCGGACTTGGAGTGGCCAGTCTCGGCCCAGGATGCCAAGCGCCTCCTGCGGGACATCGGGGCGCGGTCGCTGGCTTCCCGCCTTGGAGGCTCAGCAAGGCGCGTAACGCCAGGGGTCATCCTGACGTTGGCGGCCTGGCGAGGGAGGTGCGCGCTCACCTCAGTGGCGGCGGGGTCTCTGTCGCCAAGGCGGCCGACAGCGTGCAGGAGCAGGTGGACGACGGCTTCTCCATCGGCGTGGGCTCCGCGGCGGCGGTGGAGCAGCTCGGCATCGGCTCGGGCACGGAGTCGTCGGGTTCGGATGGGGCGAACATCGACGCGTTGCCGGGCGCGTTGGTCAAGGGCACGGCCACGGTCGACAGCAGCGCGGTGACCGACACGAAGGACTGGTTCATCGGGGAGCTGTCCGTGGAGATGGGCACGCCGACGGAGGACCAGGCCGACCTGGAGGACAAGCTCGTGGACTCGCTGGACCCGATGCGCGGCCATTTCTTTTTGGTCGCTCGTCGTGCAGATGTGCGAGGTGCCGTCCGAGGCCCACGCGGAGCTGAAGGCGGGTGCGGGGGAGCTCGTGGAGAGGGGGTGCGCGCTGGAGCCGCGGCGGACGGCCAGCAGGAGGCGTGAGGAGGACCTCGACTCCGAGAGCGGGCTGATCCCGTGGCCCGCGGCGCCGGTCCCAACCCTCCCCCTGCTGGAGGACGGCGTGGGCCGGCAGCGGCCCGCGGACGGCTCGGACGTGGGGGCCCCACGGCGCCGACGACGTCGGTGGCCTGCACGTGGAGTTCGCGCGCGCGGTCGGCGGCGCGGCCAAGGTCGTGGAGGAGCAGGGAGCAGCACCGCCCGTGGAGGTGCGCTCGGGGGCGTCGACGCTGGCCACAGGCGACGAGGCGGTGGCTATCGTGGCTGTCTGCGCCATGCGCCAGCCTCGCCCCTCCCCTCTCGGGCTCACCGGCGTCGCGCAGTGTGTCCGAGGCTCCGTGGCGAGCACCGTGTGGGGCGACCCGGTGAGGAGCCACTGGTGCGGAGCCGCGAACGTGCCGAGGCGGAGCTGACCGTGCCTCGCCATGGTCGAGGATGCGGAGGCTACGCCGACGGCCCCGAGTCGCAGGCCCAGGCGCAAGATGGCCTCAGGGTGAGCGGGGCCGCTTGTCAGGCTGCCTGGTCCTCAGTGCTGGGCGCGGCTCAACACTTTTTCTTCTGGCGCCCCTCCCGTCGTGGTTTGGGGTGGGGCGTGTTGGGGGGGGGCTCGCACGGGCTGTGCGAACCTGCTCCCTCCCAGTGGGGGCGGCCTCGGGAGGCCGCTGGTTTTGCCCGTCTGTTCCCTCGGGGGTGGCTTCGGTCCGCCTGGACTGCCCTTCGGGTAAGCCAGGCTTGGACCGATGCCTGTCAGGGCTGCTTCGGGGTCCCTCGTTGCCTGGGCTCCTTGCTCTGTCGCGAGCGGGCGGCGGCGACTCCGCTGACCTTCGACATCTGGGGCCCTGGCGGTCGTCTGCTAGCAGATTGCCGCCAAGGCCTCTTTGATGATGGCCAATCCAGCGTCCTCCTCCTCCTCCTCCTCCTCTTCTTCTTCCTCCTCCTCCTCCTCCTCCTCCTCCTCCTCCTTCCCCTCCTCCGCCTCCTCCTCCTTCTCCTCCTCCTCCTCCTCCTTCTTAACCTACACACAAGGCGCCGAAGTAATCACCATTTTGGGCTCGGGAGAGGCTCTGATCTCGGGTTGTTCCTCAAATCTAGGCGGGGGGGGGCTAGTCGTGGCCGACTCTAGCCGTGGCCAGGAACGCCCCTTAGTTCCTTCTTCAGCTTACCTTATGGGAGCACGGAGACTGTACCCCGCAGAGGGCGCGAGGCTTTTAGATCGCATCAGCAGCCTTCCGAGCGCAGGTCCTGTCTGGTCCTGTCCTGTCCTGTCCTGTCCTGTCCTGTCCTGTCCTGTCCTGTCTTGTCCTTTCGGCTGCGCGCCGAGGGGTGGGTGGGTGGCAGGGAATAGGCCTTTTCGGAATGCGGCGGGGCGCTTCTCAGGAGCACTCCGGCCCTGTGGGAAGCCCTCCGCGGCTCCTGGCAAGGCTCAGGAAGCCCCTCGGAAGGCCGGGGGCCTTCTCACTGGGAGGGGGCAGGCCTTCTCGGCAGGTTGCGAGGCGCTGCTCGGCAACCCTCCGGCCCTCTGAGAAGCGCTTCGCGGCTTCAAAAAAAAAGCCCAAGGATTGCAAAAAAACCCAAACGAAGGATTGCAAACAAAAACAAAGGATTGCAAAAAAAAAACCCTCCGGCTCCGAAAAGGTTTTTTTTTTTGCAGGGCTCCGAAAAAAACCCTCTGGATGTTGGGGGCCTCGTGGGCCCTCCGAGACGGCCCGCCCCCTCTGCCTGAACCGTCGTAGGAGCGCTGTGGGTCCTCCGCCTCGCTCCTCCCCTGTTCCTCCTCGATCTCCCAAGTTGTGAATTGTCCTCCTCCTCCCTCTCCTCCTCCTCCTCCTCCTCCTCCTCCTCCTCCTCCTCCTCCTCCTCCTCCTCCTCCTCCTCCTCCTCCTCCGCCTCCTCCCCCCCTCTTCTCTTCTTCCTCCTCCTCCTCCTCCTCCTCCTCCTCCTCCTCCTCCTCCTCCTCTTCCTTCTCTCTCTCCTCCTTGTACTTGTCGCCCTTGACACAGTTTTTCCCCAACCATCCTGAGGTGTTGGGTCCTCGGTTTGAAGAGACAGCGCCCCGCGTTTCCTCCTTCCTCCTCCCCTCTTGTCGCTTGTCGCCGCCGATGCTCCTCGCTGTCTGGCCGCTTGCCGCCGCCGATTCTCCTCGCTGTCCGGCCTCTCCTCCGCGCCCGTGCCTGGCCGTGTCGGCCCCCTGCGCTCCGGCCTGAGCTCTTCGAGGCGTGCCTCCCTTTGCGCTCGCGCTGAGCCCCGGGTCCGCGCTGGGCCCGCGCTGGGCCCTGGACTCCGGGCGGATTGGCTCTGTGCCGCCTCGCCGCCTTCTTCCTTCCTGCTTCGGCGTCCGGGGGCCGTCTCTCCAGAGAGGGGAAGGTGATTCCCGATACCGCTACCCTTCCTCGCGGCCATGGCCAGATTCGCATCAAAATTCTGGTCGGAACGCACCCTGGGAGGTCCGCGGAGTTGCGGTACCGATATTCGGTGACCCGCGGAAAGTCCCGCCCACCGTGCCAGCCCTGCCTTTTGGGCGGCGACTGTTCGACGGGGCACGGGAGGACCTCACGTTCGACACCTCGCGTCTCTAGGCGCGAGGAAGACGTGATGATTTTGTTGTTGCTGCTGCTGATGGTGACGATAGTGATAATCATGCTGATGCGGGTGATGACGATGACGATGATGATGATGATGATGATGATGATGATGATGATGATGATGATGATGATGATGATGATGATGATGATGATACTGATGATGATGATGATCATGATGATGATGATGATGATGATGATGATGATGATGATGATGATGATGTCGCTGATGCTGATGCTGATGATGCTGATGGTGATGCTGATGATGATACTGATGTTGAGGGCGTCGGTGATCACGAGGATGATGATGCGGGTGAGTGTGTGGTTGATGATGGTAATGATGCTGGTTATGCTGATACTAATGATGATGCTGATGATGATGGTGCCTATGATGATGGTGCCGGTGATGATGATTGTGCCGATGGTGATGCTGAACATGCGGAAGATGATGATGATATTGGTGATGCTTATGTTGATGTTGATGCTGTTGATGACGATGGTGATGATTATGATCATGACGATTATGATGATGAGGCTGATGATGATGATACTGATGATGATGCTGATGATGATGATGATGATGATGATGATGATGATGATGGTCATGAGGGTGTCGCTGATGAGGCAGAGGTGGATGATGCTGATGCTGCTGATGCTGATGAGGATGATGGTGAGGATATTTCTCTCGTTGTTGTTGCTACTGTCGATGATGCTGATGTTTGAGATTCCCCGTATCCCAAGGATGAGTACATGGTTATGCCCCATATCCAAAGGATGGGGTTCATATTATTACTCCGACAGTGCCGACTCCTTCCACATCCACCTCCTCCTCTTCCACACTCAGAGTCACACTCAGGGTCACTACTTAGGTTATGGTATGCTGATGACTGTGATGTTGCTGATGATGCTGATTCCCAATATCTGAAAGGACGGGTTTCTTGCTTTTACTCCGACCGCACAGGCTCCTTCCACACTCACCTACTCCTCTTCCGCACTCATAGTCGCACTCAGGGTCACTACTTAGTATCTGATATGATTATGGGGACTGTGATGATGCCGCTGATCATCATGACAACGATGGTGATGATGACGATGCTGATGACGATGCTGATTATGATGATGCTGATGATGATGGCGACGTAGATTTTGAAGATGCCTCGAGCGAGGCGCTGGTGATGATGTTGATGGTGATGATGGTAATGCTGATGGTGGTGGTGGTTGTGATGCCGATGTTGTTGATGATGATGGTGGTGATTAGTATGGTGTTGTTGTGAGTGATGGTAACAGCAATGACGATGCTGCTGATGATGATGATGCTGATGGTGATGGTTATGATGATGATGCTTGTGATGATGCTGATGCTCATGATGATGGTGGTGGTGGTGTTGATGACGATGATGATGATGATGATGATGATGATGCTGATGATGATGATGATGATGATGGTGGTGGTTGTGATGATGATGATGATGATGATGATGATGATGATGATGAGGCCCGTTTCCAGGTTATCAGATGATGATGATGATGCTGCTGATGATGATGCTGATGATGATGATGATGCTGATGCTGCTGATGATCATTCTGGTGGTGGAGCAGAATCTGAGGATGTCTCGGGCGAGGCGCTGGTTTCAGCACAGTCAGAGGGTGGGACGCCAGGGCGTATTACACTCGTGCGTTCGCGCCCAGATGGAGGGGTGTCTCGAGCGGTTTGCCTGCTTGCTGCCGCAACATCCTCCGCTGTCGGAGCAGATTTGGAGGTTGTCTCGGGCGAGGCTGTGTTTTTTCGCGCTCCAGGGGGGCCAGACTGCGAGGATGGCTCGAGCGGTTTGCTTGTTTTGGTGGACAGGTTCGCTTGCGTTCAGAGCAGATCCTGAGGATGTTTTGGGGGAGGCGCCGGTTTCAGCACCCCAAAGGTGAGCAACCAGGAGGTATATCACTCTTCCGTTTTCGCTCAGAATTGCGGGGATGTCTCGAGTGGTTTGTCTGCTTGCTGCCGCAACATCTTCTGCTGTCGGAGCAGACTTGGAAGTTGTCTTGGGCGAGGCTGGGGTTTTTCGTGCTCCAGGGGGGCCAGACTGCGAGGATGGCTCGAGCGGTTTGCTTGTTGTGGTGGACAAATTCGCTGGCGTTCAGAGCAGATTCTGAAGAAGTCTCGGGCGAGTCGTTGGTTTTCGCACCCCAGGTGTTTCAGATCTTGGATTCATTCATGATTAAACTCATCAGATTTACTCATACTAGAATCGTTCACACTCAGACGCACCCACCATCATATTCACTCGTGGCAGACTCGCTCGTACTCAGACCCATCCACTCAGACTCGTATTCGTTATATTCATATTCAGATCCGATCACCCCCAGACACTCAGGCTCACTCTCACTCAGTTTCGCTCATATTCTGACTTGCGCATTCTCAGACCCACTCGTACCCAGACTCCTCTCATACCGAAACTAACCGACACTCAGATTCAGCCGTGCAAAACCCGTTTATACCTCAAGCCCGTTTATTTTCGAAAAACACTTTTTATTTTGTTTTTTTTTTTTTTTTTTTTTTTTTCGTTTCTTTTTTTTTTTTTTTTTTTTTTTTCTTTTTTTTTTTTTTTTTTTTTTTTTTTTTGTTTTTTTTTTATTTTTTTTTGCGAATTGACCACACTTTTTTCTTTTTTTTTTTTTTTCGCTTTTTATATTTTTTTTTTTTTTTTTTATTCTCTTTTGGTTTTTGTTTTTCTTTTTTTTTTTGTTTTTTTTTTTGTTTTTTTTTATTTTTTTACTCGCAGCGGACATGTCCAAGCAACTAGATACACATATGGGGAGCATCACGCAGTGACTAATCATGTTCACCGCGTCGAGGACCCACACACCCACCTCCTCCTCCTCCTCCTCCTCCTCCGCCTCTTCTTCAGTTTCACTACTCAGGGTTACGACTCAGGTTCTGATCTGATAGTGGTGATGGTGGTGGACGATGCCGGTGATGATGGTGATGCTGATGATGATGATGATGCCGATGATGACGATGCTGATGATGATGATGCTGATACTGATGATGCTGTTGATGCTGATGGCGATGCTGACGATGACGAAGCTGTTGTCGTTGATGATGCTGTTGATGGTGATGACGATGGCAATGACGACGACAATGATGATGATGATGCTGATGCTCATGATGAGGTTGCTGATGCTAATGCTGATGCTGTTGTTGATGCGGATGCTGATGCTGATGATGATGCTTATGCTGCTGCTGATGCTGCTGATGACCATGACGACGTCGATGGTATTGATGATGATGCACAAATGATGTTGATGATGGTAATTATGATTGCGATGATGCTTGTGCTGATAATGCTGATGATTGTGATGCGGATGATGCCGATGTCGATGATGATGATGATGTTGCTGATGTTGCTGATGTTGCTCCTGTTGCTGATGCTGTTGATGATGATGCTGGCGGATGCTGACGATGATGATGATGCCGATGATGATGGTGATGATGCTGATGACGAACATGATGATGCTGCTGATGATGCTGATGACGATGATTCTGCTGCTGATGATGCTGATGATGACGATGATGGTGGTGGTGACGATGATGATGATGATGATGATGATGATGATGATGATGATGATGCTGCTGCTGATGATGATGATGACGGAACAGGTGTTGAGGATGTCTCGGGCAAGCAGGCGGTTTGTTTTTTTGGTTGCCCAACATTTTCCGCCTTCGGAGCAGATTTTGAGGATGCCTCAGGCGAGGCGCTGGCGAAGCGCTGGTTTCGGCACCCCCAAGGGTGGCGGCAGGGGGTAATTACACGGGCCCGTTCGCGCCCAGATTGTGGGGATGTCTCGAGCGGCTTGCCTTTTTGGCAGCCTAAGTTTTTTCGCTTTCGGAGCAGCTTGGGAGGATGTTTCAGGCAAGGCGCTGGTTTTCGCACCCCAGGAGGCCCAGATTGCGAGGATGCCTCGAGCGGTTTGCTTGTTCTGGTGGCCAGGCTCGTCTGCGTCCAGAGCAGATTTTGAGCATGTCTCGGGCGAGGCGCTGACTTCAGCACCCCCAATGGGGGGGCCGCCAGTGGGTGGCCAATTCCTTCGTTCGCGCCCAGATTGCTGGGATGTCTCGAGCGGTTTGCCTGCGTACCAACCCATCGCCATATGCGCTCGGAGCAGATTCGAAGCTGCGTCGAGCGAGGCGCCGGTTTTCGCTGGTTTGCGAGGGTGCCTCGGGCGGCCTGCTTGTCTTAGTCGCCAGACTCGTCTGCGTTCAGGTCGAATCCTTTGTGTGTTGCGTATGTCCGTATACATTGCCCTTCCCCTGTGGCTCCGATCCTACGTGTTTTACGTATGCTCCTATAGATTGGGCCTCTCCTGTGGCGCGAATCCCTTCTCCAATCCAGAGCGTTTTGCGCATGCTCCTATGGCTTGGGCCTTTCCTGGGGCACGAGCCCTCCCCAGGAGGCCCCAGGAGGTTCCAGCAGGCTCCCTCCTCCTCCCCCTCCCCCTCCCCCTCCCCCTCCTCCTCCTCCTCCTTCTCCTCCTCCTCCTCCTCCTCCTCCTCCTCCTCCTCCTCCTCCTCCGCACTAGGAGGCACGAGGAAGCACCAGGAGGATGCCCCAGGAGGCCCCGGCAGAAGGCCCCGGGAGGCCCCGGGAGTTTCCAAGGAGGCCCCAGGGCGCTTCAAGGAGGCCCAGGGAG